CGGTTTTTCGCAGTTTGTACTGCCGCTTTTGAAACCTTTGCGCTAAATTATGCGCGTATGGTTCTTATTGTGTCTGTATTGAATCACCAATAGTTTAACATTATAGAATCGGCCGCCATCGCCCGTACAAAGTGGTCGCCGGCCCAGCACCAGCTCTCCATCACCTCGCTGCCGCGCTCTGGCCAGAAAATGAGTACGTTTTGAGAGCTGGATCCGTTTAGCTTTTTTTATTTTTAGACATCGGTCCGCTCGAGCGCAAGGTGTCCAACCCAGCCCGCGCGCTCCATCACGACATCCCGCACAAATGGCAGCGGCGAACGAGGCTGGTCTTTCGCAGTATGGACTGCTCGTTTTGCCACAAGCCCATCGGCAGCTTCTTGCTGCACTACGAGAAGTGCCAAAGTTGTCGGTCCGTTTTTTTTTGTTTTGGCCTTATTTTTGTTCTTTATTTTATTTTTATTTTTGTCACCGGCAAACTTTTTAGATGGCGCGTTCACCCGGAGTGCAAGCCGCGCATCGGCGAGTCGTGCGGGCTGACGTCGAACCACCTACGAGCCGCCATGGACGAGATGATCCAGCGCAACAACGAAGTAGATTGGAATTATTTTATTACTTTTTTGTTTAGGACTCCTGGTTTGGAACCAAGCGTAACTCGTCCACGTCGTCAACGCTGCGCCGCTCGAGCACCAGCAGCAACATGACCCTGTTGCACATCTACGGTGGAGAGGACACTTCGACCGAGTGCTCAGGTTCCACCGGCCTCGAAATTGACGGTAAGCTCGTTTTTTACTTTTTATTCTGTTTTTAGGTGATCGAAGCGCCCCCAGGCCTCATCATGCCAGCTACATTGCTGAAGCGGCCAGCTCGTTCAGGCCGGAATCGCCCATTTCACTCGGCTCCGATCCGAAGAGCGCTCCTCGACAAGATACTCGATTACCGGCGTTGGTTTTTGTTTTGTGGCAGGTTTTTTTTGTCCTTTTATCGCGCTCGAAACAAAACTTTTTTTTCAGCATCATCCACTCGCCCGCCCCCGTGTCGCCCTCCGTGTTCGACAGCGACTGGAACCTCTTCCACGCTCCCGAGGCCATCGCCGGCTCCTCGTCCTGGACGGACGTGACGATCCCGCTCGAGAAGCTCAAGTTCCACAACATCACCAAGTCGTTCATCGGCCGTGGCCGCTTCGGAGTGGTATCTTGGATTTGTTCGGGATCGCAATTTTTCAATCTAGGTCCAAAAAGCCGACTACTACGGCGACGTCGCCGTGAAATTTCTCGACATGGACCACGTTGAACGAGGGCAGCGAAGGGACGAATTTATGAAGTGTGTCGAGAATTTCAAGGTACGGATTTATACAACGGGTTGGACTCTGATTTAGAGTGCTCGCCACGACAACATCGTCATGTTCCGCGGCTACTTTTTCGATGAGGGTTCCCCAGGCATCGTCACCGGGCTTTGCCAGTATGGATATTTTTCTGTTCTACACTTTTTAGGGGTGAATCGCTCTACTCTCATCTCTACGAGTCCCGGGTCAACTTAAGCCTGTCGACAGCCAACAAATACGCCGTTCAGATTTGCCAGGTATATTTAAATTTTTATTCTAGCTTAATCTTCACTTTCAGGCTCTCTCCTATCTCCACGCGAAGAACATCATCCACGGAGACCTGCGATCCAAGAACATCTTCGTCGAGCAAAGACGGCGCGTCCTCGTCACTGACGTCGGCCTCTTCAGCATGAAGCGTATGAAGAATCCTCATCGGTAAATTACTCGTTTTTGCTGAATTTCTGAGATGTTTAGAAAATACACAATCATCACCCCGACTTCATGGCTGCCCTACCTCGCGCCGGAGCTGATCACCGAGATTGCCGACGACTTCAGAGAATTGCCTTCCAACGAGGAGACGGACGTCTATGCTTTTGGGTAAGACTACGATCTTTGCTAATAACCTGCGTTTTTTACAGTACCATCTGGCATGAGCTTCTCGTCGGGCGACTCCCCTGGTCTGGCAGCCGCCCTGAAACAATCATCTGGCGGGTTGGGAACGGGGTGAAGCCACGCATCCCCAAGGACTGCCCATTTGACGGAATATGGGTAGGCATTCGTTTTCATCTAATTTTTGGAAAAATGAGAGAAAACTGGAATTTTAAATTGTGTGTATTTAGAAAATTAAAAGTTTGCGGTTTAGAAACCGTATAACGGCATTACACTCGCTCTATTATTAAACCTAAAACCTAAAAAGCAGTTCTTCGGCGACTTGTGAATTACGTCTTTTTTCAAGGCGGTTTCTTTTCGAAATCATGGGCTTCAGATGTCGGGTTTTGATTTTTTACAATATTGTTCGGCAAGAAAATTTTGATTTTCAGATCCTCTCCGCCTGCTGGTCACACGACCCGTCCGATCGACCATCATTCCCCGAACTTCTCCACGACATGCGCCAGATGCCAACGCTCAAGTACGACGCGAACCCCCGTACCAAGAGCTTCGAAAGTATCATCTAGTACCACCCCCCGCATGTGCCCCCTTTTTGGCCGCGTCAATTGTCCATAATAATGTTAATTACAAACTCACTGTTACGTGCTCACCCTCTTTTCATTCACAGACCCGTTTTTTAGAGTTTCTTCCACCTCCTCCTCGCCACCCATAATATAGCCTGCAGTCTTTTTCTGTTACCTCACTTGGCCTCATTTGTAACTGTTCATTCCCCGTTTTGCTAGCCCCCTCCCATCCCCCCGGTTTCGCAGAGTTTCCCCACGGCTCCACAACTGTAGAAACTGTTGTGCGCTTTGTTGTTGGTAGGGCCAGACACAAATTTTTATCCGCTCGCTGCTTGTACACAGCAATAGTTATGCTTCTGCCTGCCATTGTTATAGCTTTACGTGTCCGAATCGTCTGCAATAAAGTATAAAATAATGTGATGCGTAGGAATGCTAGAACCGGAAGTTTGTCTGACAAAGTTCTTAGGATAAGTCTTGGTTGAAGCTTCACGGACCCGCTGTAACACGCCGACTTATCGCTGTTGTCGACACTGCCGTTGTTGTCACATGGGCTCGAATTCTGGAATTCTTATACTTGCGGTACAGAGGATTTCAGGGCGGGAATTTTGCCAAAAATGCCATACTTCCCAGTCAACAGCCGCAACAACGCATTCCTGATCGTCTTGTTGAAGGCAAAGTTGACGAGCGGCTGCACGATGGCGACGCCCCAAAGATCTTCTTTTTTGGAACTCGCTTGACGCCCTACCATAGTGGTGATGATCATCACGCACGGGAAGATCACCGACGTATTCGAACCGTTGAAAAAGTAGGGGGCCAGAAAGGCGAATAGCACCCCATTTCCGCCGGTGAACGCGCAAATGATGACGCCCTAAAAGGTATTTCAAGGGCTGCGGCCACGCCTCAATTGTAGTTTTTAGATGGTTAATTTCTAAGGCAGATGTACCTGACACAGCAATGCCATTTCCCCGCCATTACGCTTTTTGCTCCCGACGCGATTTGAGCGTCGGCGGAGACAGCGGATATAGGTAAAAAGTAGGATATTGGCAAGAAGAATCGTTAAAGGGTAGCCAATGCGCTGATAGGTATCGAACTAAAGCCAGTAAGGAAAACTAAGTTGTGCCTTACGTTATGAAATAAAAACATAGACTTTTGCTCCGGTGTGCAAGCATAGAAAAATGATAGGTCTGGAAGCCTATTATACAGTTTTTAGGGCCTACCTTCAGCCCGGAATTTCTCCTCACAATCCGTCAACTGCTGCAACATGGTGCCGATAATTCCCAGCGCCCAGATCAGGCCGATAAGTCTGGGTTTGCAATTCATATAAGAGACGGAGAAGGCCTACATTTGTAAGGCCTTTCCGGTAAAGAACATGTCGTTGATTTTAGGCATGGCAAAAACTGTGGCGGTGTTTAACGTGGCGAATAAGACGAGGATTACGGAGACCTAAATAGGTGGCGTTCAATAGTATAACTTTGTTTATACCATAAAAGTCACATATTCACAAGCGATACCGATTTTGTAGAGCCAGAAGAAGGGCGAGTTCAGGTAAAGCTAAATCTTTATTTTAGCTGATTTTCTGATCCTTACGTCACGGCCAGTGATAGTAATAGGAAGCGTTAGAACGAGATGCATAAAGGCCTTAAACGAATTAATTTAAATTTTCAAGTTTTAATGTTTACCTGTACCAAGTTGATAATCGCGTGGTGAAGGTGAAAGCTGTATACAGAATTGCTAGTGGCCGGGATGTGCTAAGAGTTTTGTTATTATGGATTTCATTGGGAAGTGATAATTTTTAGGTATCAGGACGTACTAATACTATAGCCATTGCGATCAGTAGATTGGAGAAGATCATGATTGCCTCTAGCGGGATGTAGATCAGAAACGCTATCAGCCGTTCCTCATAAGGTATCTAAGATACAAATAGGTACATTTTTAATAGAAGCATACCGGGGAGAGGTCGTCCATTTGAGAAGTCAGGCGGTACTGCTTCTACTCTCCTTACCGGGTATTCGCGCTTAATCGTGGTTTTAAAACTGCTAAATGAATTAGAAAACGAAAATCTCTCTAGTCGATTCAAAACCACCGAAATTCTAAGCTAGCGTACGAGACCAGGAAGAGAATTTCTTTAATTTGCAAGTGATACTCATCGCCAAACATTCGAAATCCCTCATTTCTCTGAGGTTTCGCCCTGAAAAGTCAGATTTATCGACACGCCCCTAACTGAATTTTTGCCCCTCCTCCAAACTCTTCTGATTTTGGTCCAAATTTGTAATTTGAAAATCTTAGTGCGAGCCCGGAAGTTCGTTTTGGTTATTTTTGCAAGCTGAACTTCCTCAGCTTGTTTTTGATTATCTATCGAAGCTGCGACCTTTAAAGTCGCTGTAAAAACGCCTAGGGTAAGATTTTTGTTCTCCCAGCAGCAATTAATAATCATTGGTGGTTTGAACTGTTCGCACGTTGGCCTGTTCTCTAATGACGCTCCCTCGGGAAATCAGACCCTTATTTTTGATAGCCCCCGATTTTTCGGAAGGTTTTTATAGGCGACCCTCGGTCTTCACCCCATTAGGCCTCAGGGCCAAAAAGTCTCTAGCAATTTCCGAGACGCCCATTGTACTTGTGGTGGATTTTTGAGTTTTTCTTGCTAAATTTTACATTGCGCTCATTCACCTGATCCATTTTTAAGGATTAGAAAATTACGTTGTGCAGCAAGGTCTCCCAGCGATTTTTCACCGCCAGGTGCAATAATTTTTTTGGCCAAAGACAACTGTGGAATTTTTTATTGCATTTTACTTATAAATTTGCGCCGATTGACTAATGGACAAGTGGCGGTTGAGTGTCGTCGTCGCCGTCGAGCCAATCGTGTGGATATGGGCTTGGGGAAGTCTGAAAAAAATCGGCTATGTAAGATTTTAAAATGAGTCAAAATGGCTGAAGATCCGAACAGCGCCTTAAAGGCGAAAGAGACACCATTTCGAAAATAGCGCCAGCTTTCTCATTTACCTGCTTTAAAAATCGGCCGAAAGATCCTGAAGAACCTGTGCTAGATTGCCCTTTTGGTGGTGGCCGGGCCTAGATTTTACGGTGTTGATTCCCTTATTAATATCGACAATTACGCGACCAGGGGAATTTTGTGTTTTCCTTTTTCTTAAAATCGCCATTTTCACCCACCCAACGGTGGCAGCGTTGAGATCAAATGACTCGACATACTTTCCGGTGGCCAGCCTCTTCGAAGCATTTCGAATCGTTTTGTTGAAGCACAAGTTCAGCACCGGTTGCAGGATGGCGACCCCCTATAATTAATTCACTCTTTTAACGTTTTGTTGAGGCCTTGAAAATGGGGGTTTCTCTCTGCTGGTCGAATTCACCCGGGCAGAAGAAGTACAAACTTAATGATGTACACGTTTTCCCATTTACAACGTTCCCGAAATTGACCAAAATTGTTGGCTTATCGTAATGACCAACTGTGAATAAGCCGTTGCACATACGCCATGGAAATACCCGGTAATTTAGTCAAGCCATAATTTTTACTGGTCTTGGAAAATTAGAATGTTTAATGAAACAAAAGTCAAAAACACTGGGGACTTAAATTTCGAGAAAAAGTGATCTCAACGTTAGCGAATCTAGGCGATACTTACCATGGTGGTAACGATCATGGTACAGGGGAATACTATTGACGTATTGGTACCGTTGAAAAAATGCGGAGCGATGAAGGTGAATAAGACTCCGTTACCGCCAATGAATAGACAAATGATTACACCCTGAAATTATTAAATCTTTAAGGAAGATAGTCGGATGGAGAGAGAGAGAGCGAGAGAGAGAGAGAGTGAGAAAGAACGAGAGATATTTTACCGACCTGAATCAACAACACCAGTTCTCCTCCACTACTCCTCGCCTTCCTGCTTCTCGCCTTATTCGCAGTCTTCCGAAGGTATCGAATATATACAAACAGCAAAATATTCCCAATCAAAATCGATATTGGGTACCCGAGTCTTTGAAAGGAATCAAACTATAAACTTGGTAATAGAAAGTACAAGATCGATAAAGTTTCCTACATTATGAAAAAGAAATTGCTGCTGCTGCTCGGATGTGCACGCGTAGTAAAAAGACAGATCTAAAAGATCAAAAAATAAAAGATAAAATCCCTAGCATACCTTGAGCTCTGAATCCTTTCAAGCAATCCGTCAACTGCTCGATCGTGGTTTCCAATAACGCTGCTAACCAAATTGCCGTGATTAGGCTGAAAAATGTAGTTTCCAGACCAACAGCGATTTATTACATTTGTAGTGCATAGCCGGTAAAGAATTTTGCATGAATATGCGGCAGTCCAAACGTCGTGGCCGTACTTAACGTTGCGAATAAGACGAGGTAGACGGATACCTGAAAATAAGTAGATCGTCGTTTTTTTAGTTTTGGGTCTGGAAAAGCAAGTTCCTCTAGTTATTATGGAAGTTATACAATACAACCAACGTTCATGGAACTACCATTCATACCTTAAAGGTCAAATATTCACAAGAAACGGCGGCCCGGTACAACCACGAGAAGTTGCTTTCCTCATAGATCTTAAACCTTTTTTTTATCCTTTTTAAGGTAGCTCTATCGTTCGTTAAAGTATCTCGCACCACCGTGTTATGAAATTTTCACGCTCTTTGCTCAAAATTTTGAAAAATTCTGCACCGAAACTACAACCTACATCAATCCCAGTTATGGTAATCGGCAGTGTTAGGACGAGATGCATAAAACCCTAAAAAATTAAATGTTCGCTTTGAGAGTTTGCTAAGCAAATCCAATAGTGTGGAAAACTTACCTGAACTAAATTAATAAAACAATGGTGTAGATGAAAGCTGTAGATCGAATTTCCGGTTGGGATATACTAAAATCAAAAGTGTAAGACTTTTTGGCACATTAAAAGTACAAAAAAACGGGCCTAAACTTACAAACATTATCCCCGAGGCTATCAACAGGTTCGAGGTGATCATAATGGTTTCTAATGGGATGTAGAT